ACTTACAAATTTAAACCCGTTCCTTTATTTTCAATTAGGTATCTTGCTGTTTTGCTGAAGTAAATATAGGATAAACATGAAGAGAAATACAATCCCTTTATCATGGTAATTATATTAGAATTATCACAGGGAACGTTTTCACCTTTCAAACCTTAGCATTAAGGCTTATTGGGGATTGCAGAAGCATCTCACTGAAATGATTGTGTTAATGGGGTGTTGTAATGGCAAACTCAAATTACACATTTCCGTCTATGGCAAATTAACAAGAAAATTTAGCAAAATTGGAGAACTCAATGGGAATAATGGACAAGGTAGGTTTGTTTTTTCTGAAAATCATTGATGCTATTTTTAAAGAAAATGCAATTAGTTTAACAGCAAAAAGACACCCAATTACCAAGGGGAGGAAATATTCTTTTGTATTCTGTTTTACAATTGTTCACTCCAAGGTATATCTTACTGAACCTTTCCATAATTTCAGCATTATGCCACACAGTTGTAGGTGTATTTGAAGGCAGCCTGCAGCTACAATTATGATAGTGGGCTTTAATTTAAAAAGAGACTTATCCAGCACAGCAGATCTAAGTGCAGCTTGGTAGCAGGGTTTTTGAGTCTATTTGAAAATCTGTGAAAATGAAGTAGTTCGTGTACAGAATCAATCTATTTGCTCAGGATTAAGGCAATTAAATAGATCATGTGAGACTGTGCAGCAATACAGGTCTATTAAGTGAAGCACCTAGCATTTACAGTGACTAAGAGAAAATCTGGACAATACCACACACCTCCCCCGACAAAAGTCACTCCATACTGAAAAGGTCACAGCTGATCATGGTATGATGTGCTCCAGTTTTCTTTTAATGCCTCCTGCACCCTCATTATGGGACACCCGAGCCTCCATTGAATGTCTGCCAAAGTGAATAAAAAGGGCAATTAGCGCACCAGTCTCAAGGGAGGCATAGCGGACTGCAAAAAAAGGTGTTTTTTTTTTGTGTGTCCACGTTCCTGGCATGCAGCACACTACACAGGCTGCTTGAGAACACAGAACCCAAAGCTCCTAAACCAAAAGAAATTACAGGAACCTAAAACTATTCACCAGTGAGTAGACATTTGATATAAATTGTTAATATATGTGATTTGTAGATGCTGTAGAAAATGAACCACTATGTATATCTGTAATAGTTAAAAGTATGTTATACACTATTATGGACTAGATCTGCAAGGAAATGGTAGCAAGGACTAGGTTCTTGGATGGAGAAGTTGTCCTTAAAAGTATCAAAAAATATTCAAGATGAGAAATACAATTTTGCATTGGGAGGAAAAACTTACACTGCACCTACGAACACAACAAGTAAAGCACAACATTTTGAAACCCTTGGGGCTACATTTAATTTCTAATCTGATTCGAGCTCATTAGTGATGGCATTTGCAATCTGGCAAGTGTTTATACCACATGCACATCAGGCGCTTTCAAATGCAGTTTTGACTTTTCTGAAGTCTGGCTGCGTCATTACGCTTACTGTGATATCCAGAATGTTAAAGGTCATCCGAAATCTGTAGCAGATTTGAATATTTTACAGAAAACGGAAACCCAAACCTCAGGTTTCCTTCGAGTCAGTGCAGATTTCAAATACACACCAGGCCACCAGCTCTGGGCTGGCGGTTTCTGAAATGTGCAGTATCTCTGTGTGCAACACGAATCCCAAGGTTAATGGAGGGGAGGCTTCGTAACTATAGGAAAATTCCTCTGGGTTTTGCAAACAAAACGTGCTGTCATTTCCTGATCCACTCAATTTTAATATGATCAGCAGCCTTGCTGTTTTATTCTACTTTTCTCCTGAAGAATAAAAGCCAGGGGCCAAGTGTTGTGGAAATGAACAAAAACTACCCATATAATGGAGAACGTCATGTTTAAAAAGATTACACAGATCTCCATTCTCTTTCAGTGCTGAGAAATGTATCAGTTAGGACCATGGTCATTAGGATTTCATGGATACTTATCTCCTTCCCACGCTAACATAACATTATCTGTGGGTGATAATGCACACAGGTCCGATTTCTGTGGTGTGATTTTATTTATTTTAGTTCATCTTACCTTTCTAAAAATATACATTTAATATGTGTAATAAATACTATTCCTTGGAAGGAATAGTATATAGAACAAAATTAATACATAGTTTGCTGTTCTTTACTAATCCTATAAATCCATTATAAAACATTAGCTTCTCATTATCCAAGGATTTGATATTGAAGAAACTCAATGGGTTTCAAATATAATGGTGACTGAGGCACAGCAGTATTTTAAAATCCTTCATCTCTAGAATGCCAGCTTGGACTGCCAAATTATTTGCTCTGAACTGTTGACCTCAGCTGTATGGCGTCTGTATGGCACAGGGTTACGAAGGCTGTAAGTATGTCCTTGTAATACACCCAATTTATTGGTCAGGGCTAGGCCTGCCCTACTGATGAGTCCTTATAAGGGCTAACTGTCTGCTAACTTTGACTTACAGTAAATGAAGGAGAATCAAAATGGTTCACCTGACATGCTCCGAAAGTCAACAATGCAATTTTTATGGCAATGACCCTCAGAAGCAGAAGGATGCTATTGTAAACATTTTCTTTTTGACAAAAATGCAAACGATTACAATTTGCATTTTTGTTTCACTGTTCAATTCCTTTTTTTTTATATGAAGTATGGGAACACAGCCTCACAAAGGCCCATGTAATTGCCTTTCATTCTGTCTTATTTTATACAAGAACATGTATACATTTTTTTTAATTTAATTTCTTAATCACCTTTTAATGCCATGCTTTTTAGTAGCTGATTTTAGGCAATGCAAAAGGATGTAATGTTTTCTGCATTGCTGCTAATTTTATGTCTTTAATTGGGTTAGTATTAATAGATAGTTTTCTCGAAGTGCAAAAATGAGAAACATACATTTTCTAAAATATATTCAATTTTCAGTCAAGCCAATTATACTGCTGTGCTGTATATTACCACTGCTACACAGATTGCTTATGAATCCTTTTGGGAGCCAACATGCACAAAGAGAAATGCTTGAAAAGGAAATGATTGAATTTCAAGGATTTTATCTAAGGTTCTTTTAAGAAGAGGTCTCCTTGGGGTGATAAAATCTTAATATGCTGGAAAACTCTTTCATCAAAGATGTTTTTGTAAAATATACAGTACGATTTATACTAAACATAATATTTTTTAGTGTAACTACAAAGTTATAACTTTTTGTGTTGCTGTTTTTTTTTTGCTGATTAAATCCAATCACTGAAGCTAACATGCAATACAAGACTTGTTTTTTTTAATTGGTGTGTCTATACCAATGCTTGTAAATTGTGATTAATAAGCTAAAAATTGTTTTAGTGGTAGTTTGTTCCAGTTTGGAGTGTTTTGCACTTAATGCAATTTAGTTGACTAAATCACTTGAAATCTAAGTATCATTTTAAGATGTGCAGAACATCATTACCAAAAAGACTTTAGTATCACTTCTTAAGCCCAGTTTAACTCCAAAATGTGGCTCGTTTGCTAGTAAAAAATAAACCATTAAACCTTATAGGTGGGTTTTCTGAACCAGGATATCTCTTTCATAAACGTAAAGCTTTTAAAGAAAGTTTTGAGGTGACCCATGTCTAAGTTTAACTTTTCAAATAGTTTAAAAATAAAAGACGTGTCCCACTGTTTTAATATCCCTGATCTCACTGTTGAAAATGCTTTCAGTCTGTGGATGTGGGAGTTGCAGATGACAAAGAACAATGACAAAATAAGACAGTAATGAAATACTCATTGATTTGTATCAGAAAAGAGGACTAGTAAGTGAACCAAAGTTATGGGTGTTTCTCAGAGCACTGGCACCTAGTGTGAATTCAGATTTACATGCTGTACCACAGTGTTAAAATTCTGTTCAAGGAGCTGAATGTTTCGGCTTAGCTCATCAGATACAGGCTCCTTGATGATCCCCAGCTGGAAAATATGCAGAGTGATCCCAGATTTGAAGTGTGTTATCAATAACAAATTCATTATAAAGAGAATCCCTCAGGCACATCTCTCTTTAGCTGTGCCATGGCTTTGCAATGGAAAGTGCTTAGGAAGGGCTTATGTTGTCACCACTTTTGATACAGGGGCTGTCACAGAGGGATTTAGTGAAGCTCATGGAGTCAACAGATGCATCTTGCACACATCAGCAAGGAGCTTGGTTTCATTGAAAAACTTCTCATCCTTAATCCAGAGATAATTACCTTTTCTTCTTGTTTAGTCTGTTTAATTTTAAAACATGCTAGTACACCCTTCATATAGCATTTTCTTTACTTGCAAATATCTGTTGTAGGGTATAATTATAGATGATAAAATATAATCCTGTTTTACAGTGGTTGAAATTTCAATGGCAGTGAACAAATTGTATTCTTCAATAACACATTGATTTATGTAAATAAAAGTCACTGTCTAGCTAAAATTAAAGCATGTTTTTTTTTTGCTGGGAACTGACATGCCTTTGTTGTAATCTGCAAGTAAGTCCTAAGCAAGACAAATCATTATTTGAAGTGATGCCCCAAAACCCCAAAAAACTAAAAAAGTTTATTTGACATTTTAATAAATATCTTTATTTTTTTATGAATCATACTTTCATAGTGTACAGCTTGCTTGTTTGAAAAATAAGATGTTTTGATGAGGTCTGAGGGTACCTTGGATGTAGGAACATAGCTCACACCTATGAAATAATAAATCTAGAAGACTGTGGATTTTAGCATGATATTGATTAGTATATAATCCATTATATATAATCCATTCTTTTTACTTCAGCTACTGTAGGTCAAATGGAAAGGGCTACCTTGTTATTGTGTTGAGACTAGGTATTTGTTCAGTAGCAAATAGTTCAGATGTTCACTAGTATTTTGTTTAGCACAGCAGTTACTTACACATGTACAGTACTATCCTACAAACCAGTAGTTTCTATATATTATATAACAGCACTGAAATAAAAAGTGAGACAAAGCTCTCAGTTGAGAAATTAAAAATATGAGCATATTTATTATAGCAACATGAGAATTCAAAATGTGTACACCTTTACCAAGTTCATATTAGCCTGCAAGGGCAAACAGAAGACCACAGCATACAAAAGAACATTGAAACAAGCTCACAAAGAATGAGCAGGAAACTTTCACAAAATGGCAGAACCAGGCATAGGGTTAAATTCTTTCTTTATTTAATGCTACAGACAATTTTAGGCATGATTTACCATAAAAATACAAAATAAAATTGCACATACTGCACTTAACTAGGTGATCAACCTTCTAATGATAACGCTATATTTAATTACAACCCTGTGCTTTTTCCAGCTATGGCACTGAATGTACTGTAGCTTGCTTGCAGTCTTATTTCCATGTTCTAGATGTTCTCGTAGCTATACAATTGAGACAAGTGTGTTGGTTTATGTAGAGTAGCCTTTTTTAACAGCCCTTAACCTGTCCACTGAAGTGGGCATCTGAGACTTTTGTCATAATATGCCATTTATTTGACTGGGAAATACTGAAATCATTATTTTTGTACATTTTGGACAGGGAAGTGTTAACCTCTGACGCTTGCAGCTGTTTTGTCTTTGAGATCTGCATCTATAACTGACATCTAAAGGTGTACAATAGTTTACTTTGTTTTACTATAGACTGGAGTTACCGGGAGAAAGACTTGCAAGTCCACAGAATAAATGTCATGTAGATACCAGAGGTCTTACATTGATTTCAGATATATGCACACTTTCTGTCCCTACAGCTGAGAGAATTTCAGACTTATGTATGAAAAAAATGTGCACTTACAGAATGAAGGCAGAATACTTTTGTTAAAACATTACTGTTTCCCTCAAAATTCAATGAAATTATCAGTATAATTTATGATGTACTCAATTTAAAAACTCCTCAGCAAGCCACACAAACGATCAACAGATTTTCTTTATATTTAATTATGTATTGAGAGACATTTCCCATGATTAGTATGAGGGTAAAAAAAATTTTAATACTAAGTACTGCAGTTCATCTTTGTATAATATTTAACCACTAAAAAGTCTTATTGCTGACAATTTCCTTCATCATCATGAAACGGGCACAATAAGAAGTAAAATATTGTGAGCCTTTAGTAGTTTATCACTTCTGAAAATTATTAGTTGGCAAGAGAAAACTCAGACTATGTTTACAGATGGTGATGACTCTAGCCAAAAATGCTAAACTCATGACACATAAAATAAACTTAGCAGGTTCACATCTATTGCTTCATGGTTCCAGCAAAGTCTGTGAAAAATAATTAAAACTCTACATTTAGTTTAGAGAGCATGACATGTTCTTTCATGTGTTATGTTTCACAGTAACCAGCCCTGGTCATTTTTACTATACACTGTATAACCTGTTTAGGAAAATACATTTATGCCAACAATGGATTTGAGCTGTTAACGCCTGTTTTAGCATACGTGTGTGGGTATAGGTGTGTACAGTATGTGTGTTGTGACAAAACGTTTTATTCAGAGGTTTCAAAATATGTTTTTTTAAGAATACTCTCTTTTATTTTGGAAAATATTATCAACATACAAACTGAGTGATTTCCCAAAATTAACCAGACAAAAGCAGGAATTTTAGTACCACACGAAGATAGGCTTTAGATAGGCTTTCAGATTTAGTGGAGCATAGAGCCTGAACTTTAATGTAATTGTAATCCTTGTAATTGCTTTGAGAAGGCATGTGAAGCTTGATGTGTCTGACACAGGGGCCCTGCTTACAGTCTGCAAGACACCTAAAAGCAAGATATGTATCTGCTTAGCCAATTATGGCTTCTCATTGAGAAGTGCCATTTTTACACTAACTTGCCAAACATGATTTTTAAACATATTCCCTTACTTCATGTGAGGTTTAAAATGCATCTTAATGTCAGGGAATCTGGTTTTCGTCTTGAATAATAAGAAAACTACAATTGCACTATTTACTGTCAAGGACCAAGCTTACCATCTATACAATATTCTTCATCAGCACTCTCCCACAATTAGTCCATTTTTGTCTTGCTTTAAATTGAATCTGCTAGAGTTTTTCATCCTAAATAAAAGTACATAATTATAAACATTCTATAGTTTTAATCAATAACACTGTACATTTTTTACAATATGGTACAATTGGCTTTGAAGACGGTTAATATCTGTTATAAAAAGGACAGCACTCACTTTTGATTCTTTTTCAAAATCTACAGAAGCACCTAGAAAACAGAGGGAGCTACCGAGTGGTGTTTACTGTACTTGCACTGTAAGTGACGATGTGTTAACACTACAGCTACAGTGTCCTGCTCCACCTTTGGACTTAACCACATTCCACATCTACTGTAAACGTACTGCATTATTTCATTTCACCCCTGCATTGTCACAATCCTCATTCTACATCACTTCTTCAAAGGTTGATGATTCTCTCATTCATCTAGTGGGATAAATATCAATGTTGCAAGGCAGGAGTCTCAAACTCTGTATCTAGAGGGCCTAATGTGTTCTGGTTATTTTTCTTTCCAACCCGAGTAGACAATTAAACAACCAATTTATTTTCTTAGACACGTCAAGGATTTTTAAAAGGTCCTTTACAGCTGATTACTCAACATGTTCATCTCATCAAAGGTAGAGTTACCTATTAAACACCTCAGAGCCCAGTCACAAATATCATCAGTTATGCATTGATTGAATAATTTGAGTAGTAACTATGAGATGAGAACAAAAACCAGAAGTAAGTACAGCAGGTCCTCTTTTAAATGAGTTTGAAATCCCTATTGAAAGGCGTAGAGATTTCCTGGACTTCATTTGGGATGATTAAATTAGATGGAGAAAGGAAAAACAAAAAAACATCATTTCCATTGTCCCTGGAGATCCTAATGTCAATTGATATTGTGGCTCTCTTCCACAGGACAGCTCATGGGTCTTATTGGAAATGGCCTTTTTTACAGAGGAGGCGTTTCTGTGTGCAGAGCTCCAGGAGTGGAAATGGATCTTTCGTTACAATGTCCCCTTTCCTTCTTAAGTAAGCCAAACCTGTAAGGCACAATCTTAAAGGCAAACTGAAGATGGTCGCTTTTATATTGATGCACTTACACGTGTGCCTTAGTATTTTAACTTGAGTAACTTCCATTTGATCCCTATTTCTCCATTGAACTGTTACAGTTTGGCGCACCACATCCCTAATGATGGTGACCAGACGGTGATGGAGGACTGAGGAAAACTACCCGCTTCGAGCTCCACAGCTATTCCTCTCTATCGGGATAACGAGTAAATACCATTTTTAATACAGCAAACCTGGCCACTGGAGTGTTTGATTTGCTGTTGACAGTTGTAAATTACTGCAGTGTGCACAAAATAGGTATCATATGCCAGTATGTTCCAGTACTTATAGTTAGAATTCATGGCACTATTCAGAATGAAGAATGTTTTATAAAACAGTTTATGCAATGTCAAATTTCCTTTTGACACCTAGCGATATTTTATAACGTGTCAAACACTTTGGAGTACGTACATTTTTCTTTCCATGTGTTTTTCCACAATTATTTGCTCTTTTCTGCTGCGCTACTCGACCCAATATTTTTCAGTGAAACTTTAAACAGCAGTCAGGATCACAAGACTTGAAGTTTTGCTTGACTGATGTTTTGCTTGTATTTTTAACACTGTATCACTGCTTTCCTTCTTTGTTCATCGCCCAGACAGCCATAACAGCAGCTCCTTGAAGTAAGGCCGAAACAACTCTCAATTACCCTGTTGTATTACAGTAGGTCACTGTAATGGAGCTGGTAACAGAAAAGTAGGTGAATAGGTGAAAAGTGAGTGTTATCCACTCACATTACTTTGCCACAAATAAATAAAGTCTTTCCCATTGTGCTAGTGATATTAGCATTTTCATATCACTGTGCAGTATTCTTTAACAAGGCCAGAAATCTCCATTCCCTGATACCACTAGTCAGTTCTGGGATTTGAAATTAGAGGGCATACATCTGTGCATTCATGGTAGCCTCTAAAACAGTAGGTATTTCAACTTAGAACCGAGAAGATCTCATCTCCTTTGATTTACCATGTCAAAAACCAGGACATTTTAGAATTCAATAATAGAATAGGGTTTAGTTCTGTAGTGCCAGAGGGAAGCATTTTAAACATTCTCATACAGGTATATGAAGAAGTGGTCACAGATCTGACCTTAGTACTGCTTGTTCAGAAACTAAAACACCTTAAAATAATAAAAGGCAACTTTGATTCACATTCTACTGTACACTCACTTGCACAAACTGATTTTTTTTCTGAGCACTTTCCTTAGATGCCTCCCGAGTGACCTAATGTAGATCAGCCTCTTCCTCCTTTCGCTGCTGTGTCTCTAAGTGCATGGACAGAAGCCAGAGTGCTTACGAGAAGATCTATCCAGAACAATTTGAATGGTGAAGCTGTTAATTGGGAATAACGAGCAACATGTTGAACTCATTCAGTCTTTTCTTGGTTCGTGGAGCCTGTGGCACATGGGCAAGGTTATACTTGTACATGTGCCCCTTGCGTCTGCAGACTCTGTATGCTGGAGAGGATCTTCTTCTGATGGCCAGCCAGTGAAATTCCGATTTTACCCAGTTCACTACAATTAAAGGGAAGGAAAAAGAAGTGCTTTAGATGTGTGACTCTAATTATATGTTTATTTTAAAACAAGTTCAGGCTTTTTGGATTTACTTAGCTGGGTGTTTCAAGACAAAATGAACATGACTTTAAAAGCTCACAGTCAATGCAGAGATATGATTGCAGAGACAGTACATTGCTGAAACACACTAATACATAAGAGACACTAAGAATTCAGATTTATATTCCACTAGTTTCCACCTAATGACCCTCACCAATGTGTTGAAACCAGTTGAATTAATTGCACACTATAAGAATTTCTCAAAGAAAACCAGTATAGTTGTATAGCATTTATTCATGCTAAAACATAAACAAATCTGTCTTAACTAAGCAGGTTAATTGTGCCAACCTTCAAATCACTATTTTAAATTTCAATGTCTGTTAACTCTGGGCACTTTACTGCCTACAAAGGATATCCGATAGACCACAAAGTACTCAAAATTGAAGCAATACATTCTAGACAGCTACTAAACAAAGCATACAATCCTGACATTTCTAACGTATACCAGTGTCAGTTATAATATCATGGTGCCTGACTTACCGTTAATAATTTTGAGGAAATTTAAAGAAAATAAAGACTTTTGGAAAAATGACGACATTAGATAACCCAAGGGAAATACTGTAGTTTCACTTAAAAAAAATAATGGATGGTATGTCCTCACCTGACACTTATGTACAACACTGAGTCAAGGGTTACATAGCCCGCGTTTGAAAAGTTTTCCTTGTACTGGGTCATTTTCATGGCATCCAACCAGTCTTCTACCGTGTTGACACTGAACTCAGGGGTTGTTGGATCTTGCCTGCAAGGAGCAGTGAACAGTAGTTTTTTTTTTAAAAAAAGAGGAATACTCATTTGTGTGTATCAGTAAATTGCTAAAAGCATTGTCCTTACTGGTATGGAAATGCTTTAAATTTCTTTCAGGTCGTAAAAGAAGATGAAATCTTCATCTAGTGGACTAACCTAGAAAGGCACTCAACCTGTACCTTTCTAAATTTAGACATACGACATACTGTAGATAGTAATTCAGACAGTGCAGCATCAGTATGAAAACAGTAGAATATGCATTAGATTTCCCTAAAGAGAAAAGCACTTTTTATGTCCTTAAACTGCAATGCTATTTTTGTATTTCAGGGGTTAGAAAGAATCAGCATCAATGAGTGCATTTCAAACAACAATTAAAGTAAAACACACACAGGTTTTACAAATGTGTTAAACCTCCAATTTACATCTCAGAATAATTAAAATTTCCAGGTATGCAGAGCGCCATACTCTGTGATTCAGAACAAGGCAACAAACTGTCCGGTGATGTGAAGCGGTCCTATTCCACTAAACAAGCAGGTTTGGGAATACCTGTCTTTTAATCCAATAGAAAAATAGCTCTTGACTTCGAGACGGTTTTGCAGACAAATACAATTTACTTGTCAGTTCTGCATCCAGATTGCGTTGGAACATTGCTGCGGTGAAATAGGTGCTGCTGTATTTATTCGCTTTTACATCACATTACATTAGTCATTACAGTGACCAGTGAGCAGAAAGGAACACCTTACATCACTTTTCACACAAACCCTCACTACTACCGTAGTGAGACCAGGGGTTTGACATAATGGTGACTATCCAGTACTTTCCTAAAGTTCACAATTTTGTGCTTAATTAAAAACTGTTATTTTATTTCTATACTGTCAATTAATTTATTACCAAAATTTAATTACCAGTCTGATAAATTGGGACTGCAGTTCTTTTTTAAACTCAACTAAAAATGTGACCATCCACAATCTGAAGACAGACCTTGTTAAGATATTACCCAGCTATAATCGGTATAGATGTTATACACTGTTATCGACTCTGCCCCTAATAATTTTTGTATTGATGATATTGAAATGCACAGTTCTTGAGGTATGATTTGAAGAACTAATTTGAATTGTGCACAGATCAATAGTTCCAATCAATTTCTCATTCAATTTAACTCTCAAAGTACAAGTACTGTAGCTATACAGTTTATATTATACACAGTTGTTGAGTATGTAAAAATAGGATTCTGGACTTGAAACATTTATGCTTCAGATATATTGCAAAACCAAATAACATAACCAGCCTTGTGTACTCTCTCTAAGAGTTTCAAAAATAAGCAATCTACAGTACTTAATTTATATTTTATTACCATGACATTATTAATTAATCATCAACATGATTTATTTTATGAGAGGGGGACTAAATCACTTTTGGGAATGATAAGGTACAAGCTGCAATTACTTAAAAAAGGGAAAAAAACATCATAATCTGACTTGAGCAAAATAAAAATGAAATTTATACTGTATGGAGTTATTCTGTTTGTTAATCCAATAATTGGAAAGGAAAGGAAAATAACACCTAAAATGAATTACAGGATTTCAGATTTTTCTGATTTTTTATTTCAGGTACAGGCTTACAGTATACAGTATATCGGCCATTTTAAGGAAAACTATAGAAGCACGCAGTCTATAATTCCAATATCAGTTTATTTTTCGTCAGGAGATAAGCTGAAAGATCCTGTCAGGTCTAATTAGTTTTGAAACTATTCAGTGACATTAGGATATACAGCTTTGCTAAAGGATTTAGCAAACACAAACATTGTCGTGCTCCCCCACCCTAATCCAAAAACACCGCCTGACAAAATTGACCCGCTGCAAAATAAAAGAACATCTTTTCAGGGCTGCCAAGATGTAACCCAGAAACATCTGCTTCAATAGTGACAAATAAATTGCTGAATAAATATGCACATCTGGTTCACATTGAAAGCAATGGATGCAGTAAGCGAAAATATTTAGGCGCTCCCTTTTATAATTGGAACAGTAATGGTGAAGAAATGTGCTCCCAGACTCACCAGACTGAACTGTTGGCTAATTGCTTCAGGCTGCTGGGGTTTCGGATCAGCTTGTCGAGGGTGTTGACGATCTGTCCGAACTTGGGTCTATCGCTTCGGCTTTTCTCCCAGCAGTCCAGCATTAACTGGTGCAGAACTACTGGGCAATCCATTGGAGCAGGCAAGCGATACCCCTCATCTATCGCTTTTATCACCTAGAGGAGACAGACAGCGACAGAGAGTAAGAAAGGGAAGTCAACCAAGAAGTGAACAAGCTGGTTTTCCCACCCATTTGTCCGTGGTTAGAACAAAAGGTACGTTTGCTTTCTGTAGAAAAACCCTAAGTAACAGATACACTTTCTGTGAAAGTAACATCAATTTAACCCCTTGAGGAGCTGCAGTACTTGAAAGCTTCCTCATTTGAACCTGGAGACCATCGGTGCATGGTCATTTTCAAACAATAAAATAATGTACAGAATTACAACTGCTTGTTCTCTACATACATTGACACTTGCCGATGTGTATATACTTTCTATAAGCACATTGAAAATCTAACAGTGCTAAATTTGATATTAATAACTTATTGAGCAGATACATAGTTATGTCCATTTGATATACAGTAGTAAGCAAATAGGATTTTTCATTGTTTGAGTAGCATTATTCATTGAGAAAAAATACAGAGAGAAAATAATGTGGTTTTATTAATACACCAGGTGCCCAATATTTGCTATTGCTAATGTTGCCAGAATCATTTAATTAAAAATCTGTATAAATAGCCGCACAAAAAGGACTATTTTGATTTGTGCAAGAACAGCAAATGATGTTCTTCAAATGCTCGACCTGGGTCACCAAGATCACATGGGTGTTATTGGGGGTTATCAGGGTGACTGAAGGTGGTCTGTCAGGTGAGACATTGCCTAGAGAATGATATTTTCTGCTTCAACAATCAGGGGACTCGTCTGGAGAAATGAGGAAACTAGCACTGTGAGTGGCAGGCCACATCCTGGAAGGCAGAAGGTCACCACACCAGCCCAGGACTGTCACATCCATCGTATCCATCTGCATAATAGTTTTCAGATTACAGTAGCTACAGCACAACATATTCCAGGAAGAAATAAGCCAAGTGTCAGAATGTCTGAAATTTGACTTCTGCTTGATAATAATAAACGTTTAAAATCTGTTCAGGGGTAATGTTGACAAAAATTGCCATCTTCTGTGGGCCAGAGAACATCAGAGGTACCGTAGAGTAAGTGTGCTGAAGTATTTTATTCAGTCAGTGGAAGAGTGAATGTGTGGGTAGGAATGCCCTTTAAACAAATTTGGTGCAAACAGATAGCTACCTTAAGACTGAGAGATACACAGACAAAGTACTCGAGCTACCATTTCTGCAAGATAATCTGGAACTCCATTTTCCAGCAGAACAAAGAAACACCGCACAGAGCTAGGCTTACAATGACATGACTTCAAGAGAACAAGGCCACTACTTTAGCTGCCAGCCTTTTCTCCTGTTTCTCTACTAGTACTTGTTAGTCCATCTGTTTCTCCTTGTACTCCAGGTATCCAGGGTTCATTTCTGCCTGAAATGGATTTTGCAATATCTTGGGTAGTATAACAGTAGGGGCCTGGTTGAAGGCTTGAACTGAAGCTACCCCCTGTGCTTCATGCCTGAACCGTCAGATTTCTTTGCTTACTCAGTACTTTCTAGAAAGAAATAGCCAAAAGTAAAACAGAAAAAAACACACTCTTCATTGTTCCTGAAAGCTCTTCATTGATCTTCAAAAGTCAATTTTTCAAACTAGCACATGAAAAGCCTCATGTTTTTTATTTTCATTGCCTCTTCAATATGTCTACTTCTTTGGAAAACAATCAGAAACTGATACAGTAGAACAAAAAATATTGCAGGAGGTTTTGTAAAGCCAGGTCCTTGACATGATTATCTTCCAAAATAAAATCATAAATTTATGAGAAAATTACAAAAAGAACAATAAAGGTTCCATGAGTTCTACTGATATGATTAGTGAGCTTCAGGTGCTAAAGCACTATATTACTGTTTATAGGCAATAAAAATAACCTAACTTGTAGGAGCCAAAGTGATAACAAAGAGATAAGAGTACGGGTTTGTTTATTTCCTCTCAGGTATTCTCTTTCACCACCTACAAAACGTCCCTTAAGTCTCTGAATGGTCATAATTCCATGAATGACAGTGTGTTTTGCCTATCAGGGCAGCCAAATTCACAGCAAAGCTAGTCTTGAGTTTCAGCCCCAAACCCCTTACCCTTTATCTGAACAACTACTAAAACCACAACTATCATCCGAATTATATTTTTCTGGCTTTTAATTGTTGAATCATTGAACACAGCATTAAAGTAAGGCAATGGCTTTTATATATTTTGGCACGGTTTTGCTTTTGCAATGCTATTTTTACTACTGTATACAGTAAAATGCAGTAGTGACGACAAGTAAGGTGATATCTCATATGTGGTACCTAGCTGGAGAAAAAATCCTTAGTTGGTTTACAGTATGGGGCTTTTGTATCAATGCTTTTCACTGTAAAAAAGGTAAACATTTCACTTCACAGTGTTAACCTGCTGGCAAAGCAGTGAAGTACTGAAAGGTTATTTACAGATGTACATATTTCAAACAGAATTACAGAAAATGTGAACAAAAATACAGATTAACTTTTCACTATAGGTTTGCAGTATGAAACTTAGTCAAAATGAAAATATTGCAAAAAAAATCAGGTAGGAGCTTTCAGAGCATTAATATAACTATAATTTTTACAGCTGAGGCTTGACAAGAATTTAAAAATAGATAAAACTCCCCCTTTGCCTAGAAAAATAGTTAATAGTTACTAGAAGAATAGTTAAAGAAACTATAAATATGCAGGCTTAAAAATTGATTTGACTGGGGAGTCTTGTCAGTGTGCAGGCTGCAAAGGAACAGGTACTGATAGAACCTGAGAAAGTCATTTGTCCAATTCTGGGTTGGTGAACCCTTATTTAGTGATTCATTAATGGAAAACATAAAAAATTACCTCATTAATGGTACCCATTAATCAAATACCCTTAAGCATTCTGCACTAATAACCATAAGGTCATCAGAAAAAAATTAACAGGTGACAGCCCCCTGTGGGGAATACCAGAGAATATAGAAAATATTAATAACCTGAAAAACAGTACTAGCAGTAGCGGTATTTCTGTTCTTTATTTACCAAATATTAGTAACTGTCAGTTGCCTTGAAGTGTACTCACGTCTTGATTTGACATTTCCCAGTATGGTCGTTCTCCATAGGAAATCACTTCCCACATGACAATGCCATAACTCCACACATCGCTGGCAGACGTGAACTTGCGGTAGGCAATTGCTTCCGGAGATGTCCACCTGATGGGGATCTTTCCTCCCTTGAAACCAAAACAGAAGCAACAATATTAAACGGAACACAAACATTACAGTACACTTCTGTCTGACTGAATGACTTTGATTCCTTCTTTTGATTTCTGCAAACTCATCAGACCTTCATCCTAAGACTCGGCTTCCTCGATTCAGTCCCCATCTTACCCTGTTTTACGCCTCCAAGTTCCAGGGTCATAAATCTACTGCTTCTATTCAGATCTTGCCAGCTTCCTTTTTCCTGGCATACTACCCTTGATGGCTTATCTGCGCTCCACTCTACTCTTGGAATGTTTGTCCTTTGTCTTTATACAGGTCTGCATTACACCACTCTTAAACAAAACACTCTTGATCCATCATCCTTTCCGAATGGTATCTTGCTGTATCCTGTCTCTTTAAATCCCCCGAGTAAGTGGTATGCAGCCTGCACCCTGCTGTACTTTAGCAGCACTCACTGCTTGACCTGCTTCAGTCTGGCATTCACCTGAACCACTTCACAGAAACAACTCTACTCTTTGTTAACGATTCTCTTCACTCACTGCTCGTGTTGCCTTCGTCTCCTCTGTCCTAATCCTTCTTCATCCCTCTGCTGCCTTTCACACTCACACCTTTGACAGGAACTTTCTTAGAACTTCTGGTGGTGCTCACATCTGATTCTCCTTCTACCTTTCTGATGGCACATAACAGATCTCCTGAGTGGCAAAATTTAATCTCTGCTCCAAAGTCTCTCCCTGCTGGTGTCCCTCAAGGTTCTGTTATGAGTAACCTACTGTTCTCCTCCTTTCATCTATCCCCCTCTTTCACCACCCCTAAGAACATCACTGTCACTCCTGACCCCTCCCTCTCCTACTCCCGATACACTTCTTTGCAATGCTACTGCTGCTCCTTCCTAATACTTACAGAATCTGCCTCTTCCTTACCAATTTCTCCTTACAATTCCTAATCCTGACCTCTTGGCTTGCCAATGCCATCCATCCACACACTCCAACTTACAGCGTGTTTTCCCCACCTCGCTATACTCATGCTACTCTACTACTCCAGTAACTCGTCTCGATCCCTACTGCTGTACGGATCTGGTTCAAAACCCTAGTTCTCACCACGTCTGTCTCGACCACTCTGCTCCTGGCTATCTTTAGTTTCTTATCTCCCTCTACACTCACCCCCCACTCTTTCCACTTCTATTCCACAAGACCCTCTCCACTTTGTCACTAGTGCTTCACTCCCCACCCTTGCTCCTCATTGCTGGGATGAACCACACACAGACATCAGAGCTGCCCCACCTCTCGGCTGCTCAAGACTCTGTGAGATCTGTTTAGACAGCGCAGGTGATCTCCCAGCTCTCATCTACAGTACCTCCTTCAATAACTCTTACACTGTATTGGATTAATGGTTAGAATTCTCAGGTAATGTGACTTGCTAATTGATTGCACTTAATCACTGTAACAATGTAATACCTACCTACAGGGTGTTTACTATGCTGTCTGTATACTGCTTTCATTTTTAGTTCATTTTTTGTTTAAGTGACCCATTTCGTCAGTTACTTGCTAACCTCATTGTCAGTTTATTTTTCCCCATTGTACCTGCCACTTGTTCCTTATTTTCTATATTACAAGTTGCGCCAGATAAGAGCGTTTGCTAAGCAAATAATTCCATACAGTACATGACTCAATGTAGTTCCTGGCGTTTTGGCATAAAAAGCAAACTCAGAGGCTGGGGTTCCTCACAGCAACTCATGAAAGCAAACCTCTGCCTTTCAACGAGATCGCTGCGATAATTGGCAGTCCTGCTGTCACTGCACTTTGCACATTTGATTGCACAGACAGCATGTCAGATAACCCAGAGTGCAGTGACTTCACATTCACGGGTGCTTTAACAATGAGATCTTGGGGCAGGAGCAAGAGCCCCATCCTTGGACAGGGCTGTAATTAGATCATGCTGAGAGGAGAAGGACTCTTGATCTCACACCGACCTCCGCTGAGACAGCTAACACAGGAAGCAGGTGGATAAAAAAGGGTCGATTTCCTTTGTTGAACTCTGTGGTAGAGCTACAACAGAATATTTGCTTTAATTCCAGTGATGTCTTTTCGTGGAGTACTCCATCAAACCTCTCATTTATTCTTTATGAGAACTCTATCGTCCTTCTCAGTATGTCGGTATGACTTCACTGAAAACATCCATCTTGGGAGCTTCTTTTAAATCATTTCTTAGATCAACTGAAGTGGAAGACTGAACTTATAAATTCTATTTTTTAAACATGTCAGGGACAGGTGTTGTGATATTCTTGACATAGGTGTCTCACCAAACCAAGCTGTTTTAATGCAATGCACAGATACTGTATAATGGTTAGATAATTGAAGTTATGCATGGGTGTAGCATTCTCTAAATAGTGAACATTGCCTATCATAAAAAGAACCTAAGTTTCTTAAGAAATGAAACTGCTGAAGAGCAAGGTGTTATGGTGCCTAGGAGAGATCAGATTTATTATGACCCTAGTACCCTAGAAGTTATAAAATTCAAGATGTTTTTTTCAGTCATAGGATATTAATAGCAGTATGCTTGATGACTTACTCTTGTTGTATAGGCTGCCTCTGGATCATCCTCCAGTACTCGGGACAAGCCAAAGTCAGACACTTTACACACAAGGTTACTGTTCACAAGGATGTTCCTGGCTGCCAAGTCTCTGTGTACATAGTTCATGTCCGACAGGTATTTCATCCCAGAGGCAATTCCTCTCAGCATTCCAACCAGCTGGATGATTGTGAACTGTCCATCATGTTTCTGTAAAAAGAGAGAACAAAGGCTGTAATCCTGCAGCAATGTAGTTGCTAATGATTTTGTTATTTCAGATGTTGATATCTTAATAAAATATATATGTGAGCAACTCCTGGTGAATCTAACAGGCTACTGTATATATAAAGCTTCCTGAAATTCTGGCTCAAGAAAACCATCCCACAGCATAAAGAAGCTGTTGAAAGTTAAAGAAATATAATTTCACATTAACAGGTGCTGTATTTATCTTTTAAGTTTGTTATCTTTTGACCAGTTGAATTTGAAACAAACTAATTATTGTACAGGTTTTATAAAGATTGGATTATTAACCAATCTCTTGAGTTTAACATGGTGAGACACCAATTATGAGACGCTAAGCAACAGTATTTACAATAAAATAAAGTCATATTTGACCAGCCATATTGTTCTGAAAAAAGCAGGAAGAACACATTTCTTTACCACTGTAATTATTTTTCTTGCACACTTAATACTGAATATCCTAACAGTATAACATTATATCAGAAATTAAAGATTACATACAGGTAGCTAATCACTTGTGTATCTACAGTATTAGGTTTTTTATTATATATTTATTACATATTATATATTATATTTGCACATATGCACTAATAATAGCAATAACCTAAAATAATTTCCCATTTTAATTATTCTCATATACATTTTAATTATTTCACATTTGGATCCATATCATTACAATAATGCTGGTCTCTTTCAAAAGGCTTTTTTCTTTCAAGTCAAATACAAAATGATCATGTAGTTACAAAATCATATAAAGATACATATGCAGAGTCTATCAGAGGAGCAATTACATACAAATAAAGACTTTATTCTATTTATTCTAATGAACTCATATTGTACCAAAATATGTATGAATGTACATTACCATTAAGTGTAGTTGTACAGTAACTACATCACAAATTAAAACACAAAATTATTTAAGGACAAGGATAAACTCATTTTTTCATGTAAATGTATACTCTATGTAAATAAGATGATAACATCTGCTGAATTACTAAAATCACAGTATTAATTCATGGCCTCTGAAAATCAATTGTCTTCCTTCCTTTATCAATTGCAGAAAGCACTCTTTCTGCAAAACTTGTAATCTACTGGAAAGAAAGTTCTGATTTTTTTTTGTTTGACTGATGCTAATTGATCCATTCCCTAATTAAACATATGTATTCAGAAGGATTCTGTATGAGCTATTAACCATAAAACTGATACCGTAATTATATTAGCTTTTTATGTGAGCAATGGAGAATATTTATGATGTTTCATTATGCGCTCCACAGGGAAATCCAAAGTTTTAGCACAGAATTTCATCAGTTTTCATTTTCATTTCAATACATATGTAATTAAAAGATCTCCATAACAAAACCATTTGTTTGCTTTGCATAATGAAATTACAATATCATGATATCCCCAGTGACAAAACAGAGTTATAAATTTACAACTCGCAGAACAGAGACAGTTGGAGTGAGATGGTACAAAGTGCCCTTCCACTTTTATGAACTGTTCCGTGTTGGTATATACTGAGGCAGGTGAGCGAAATCAATTTATTAACACAATCAAATAAGACGCCATTTGGAGAAGGAGATCAGATGCCGACATGAAATTGCTTTGACAGGGTTTAACAGGCGGTAAAGCCTTGTGTTGCAAAAAGAATTTATGCAACAGTTAAACCTACAGCCTCTTGAAATTGTTGCAGGGGGATTGTGAAGCTCTCTTTGACAGAGTCGCATGCGAGGAGACAGGATTATATGTTATTCTTCAGAAAAGCTTTTTTAAAATTTCTTTCTCAAAAGTGAGGCATTTTATCGGGAGCTTTCGCAACTTTATGTCTACAGATTTTCACTTTTCATTTTCAAATGTAAACAGAATTATTCTATGAGACTCGATATCATTGTTAGGATTATTGTAACATGAGGACATGCAAGAAATTTGAAAGTGTTCACAAGCCTCAGGAATTCTAAGGCTTGCTAACGATGTACCCCTAGTGGGGTAAATAGAATTATCGTATTGGTTGGAGATTAAATAACTTTTAAAGCTTCTACCAGATTTCTACAGCTCTTGCTCACTCACATCTGAGGTTTTTGTCAATGACAGAAAGATGCTGGTCACTCACCTTTAAGAAGGTATCTAAAGACCCATTCTCCATGAACTCGGTTATAATCATCACTGGCTTACCTGTTAAAAAGTAGAGGCCAGAACAAAACATTGTCATTAGCACTCGTATTCACAGACCTGTTTGAATAAATCTGGTTATTTTTTACAATACAAATGGATGTCAAGGACATTCTTGTTGATACTGATCTCTCGAGCAAAATGAAAAGATTTTATAAATCAGGAAGGAAAATATATCAGGAGAAAAGGAGATGTGTTCTTATTCCTACACATCTAGGATAAAGATACCCCTGTAACAACATATAACTCCCACACTTGATTCAATTAATTTCAACTGAATATTAAAAAAGGGAGGAAATCTCTGTAAACTGTGCCTCAGCTAATTCATTCTGTACCTTTTGCCTGTTATTCATTATGACAGGCCTTAATCAAAGCTTTCAATAAAAGTCAGGAGATAATTAGAGCAAGCAATCCACCAAGGATATCTTTGTCCAGAAATATCATGAATCTTAATGAGTTCCTGTTGAAGGGAGGGAGAGGCAGTGGGGTATATGGTAGTCAAGCGGAGGTGCTTTGTGATAAACTGACTCAAAGGAAGAGGCAGGGGAGGGCAGGATAAGAGGTTTGGAGGAAGGACTTTGGCTAGTGGGAGCATAGTTCACCTCATCTCAATACATCAGCTGTTGTGCATGTAGCCAAACAACTGTCCTTACAGATGATTAAAATACATTTCTGATTTTGAGATGGGAAAACACAGTGACAACCACTCAATCATGTCTGTCTTGGCTTGACAACACACTGAACTGCCACAATTCATTTCTTTATTGTCCTCACTGACGGAAAAAAAACACTCCCACAATCACGTGGTTCAAATCTATCTCAGCAGTGCCCCTCAGCCTCTTTCTTCCACCAAACCACTCAAGAAGAGCAACAAAGCTGAAGGTGATCTCTCCTTACTAGTCTGTACAGTACACCCTAGCTAACTGTACACTAGGAGCTGAAATAGGGTGGTGACTGCCATCTAATCAATTTCTCTTTTTTCCATTGTTCCACTTTCCTTCCTGGATTTAAATTACACTATATTATATGAATTTAAAACATGATTTAAATACCTCTGAGAAATGTCCTAATGTTTTGGCCAATGGAAGGAGCATATCTGAAGCCAAATAAAATACAAATGTACAGTACATAAAAATATCTTTTTGTGCTTAACGTTTGGTAGGATTAGTGATCTGCATATCAGTTATTTTGCTTTTGTTCTGATAGATTATCAATACAATTTGATTTGGATAGAACATCAAAAACAAATACAAAATAAATGGTATGCAGATTCAAAATGCTTCTTTTAGAGCACAAGAGAAGACTGAAATGAAACACTGACAGATTTGACAATTCCCCTGCAACTCAGTTTGTTTTCACCGGGCAATTTTAATCACAATTACTGTACATACATAGAACGGAAAAATAAGTACTTCATTAGTAAAATCTTCTTTGCCATGACATCACAAAGCATGTTTATAATACACCTTATTGTCCTTCATTCTGCATCTAATTATAAAGGACCTGTTTTAGTTTAGATACTACTGGAAGACATAAAAAAGACCTTTTATATTTTACAGAAAGAACGCCGGTATCAACATATGTTTAAAACACGGCTGCAGTCTTTCATTCCAAATCCCTTTTTGAGCTAAAATTAGTTGCTGGATTGATTGGACTAATTTAAGAGCTGCTACTTTAAAGAGACCCAGAAACTCTACAGGCATACCATCCCTCCCCGTCCATGACTGGACAGCTCTTAAAATAGAATTAACCATGTCACATTCTGGCTGCATGAGTGTGGTCCGTCCATGAATTTAAAATTCTTAAAACATGAAACAGATCAAGCTTTTCGATACAGCAGAGTTACATGTATTTCCCTGGATTGCACAAGTCAGTCAAGTCACATTTACTGTATATTTTTATTTAGGAGGAATACAGATGGATGCGAATATCCCAAAGAAAGCAAAGTGAGATTTGATTTGTACAGATCAGATGGGATAAGAAGCTCAGATGCTAATAGGAGAGAACTGACTATGGTGTCTAAATTTGCAGTGTATTCTGGTAGTAAATAAAAACAAGCTGTCTGGGTGTGCTAGCCTGCCCTTACATACATCAAGGTATTCTTAAAACATGCAGCCTGCGTTGCATCAATTCTCCATCCCCCTACCTCCTTCTCAAAGTACATTTGTAAAAATGAAATTGTCCACAGGCAACCTTGAAGAATCATGGTTTGTGCTCGATGTTGGGGATTAGACGGAATAGATAGTGAGGCGGAGCTGCTTCTCCAGCACAGTGTTTCTTTTCCATCACAAGGCACCATTATTAGAAAATGTCTGTAATATTAAAGCCAGGATTACGCTGTCTGCCTCACTTTATCCAGCGTATCTCTATTCAGGCCATACAAGGGGCTGCAGGTGTACCGAGTGTAAGAAAATGTTACAGCTAAATTTTACATGAAGAAGCTGTCTGGGGCTGGGACTTGTAAATAAAGGCAATGTCAGCTGTGATAAATTGGCCTCATTTTCTGAATCCGAAGTCGCTAATGCTGGAAAGCGTGTAGTAGACGGGGGAGGTCAATAACAACATAAAAGAACCACAGCAGGAACCAAGACACTAGGCCTCAAAAGCCTGGGTACAGGCTGTTATACATCACCCAAATTAAATCACTATCTTGCTGTGATAAATGCCCTCTCTGAACTCCCCCCCAAAATCCAATTCCCTTTTACTTTTATCCTATAGACTAATGTGGCTGTCAGTCTCGCCTCAGTTAGGTGACCAGAGACCACACCAACTGAGGTGGTCTAATCTCTGATGTCGCCTCTTGTGACTGGTTTATCAAGATGATAGATGAAAGAGGCAATGGCATTGATTTGCTGAAAGGGTGGTCTTAGAGTAGGATACCTTTCAGCTTACCAGGTAGTAAGCTTACCAGGTTTTAACCTGCATCTTTCTTGACTGGTTTCTAGATCTTGAAAATAAACCCTTAAAATGCTTCAACAAAATGTACAGTACAGTATATCTTACAGAAAACAAGCAGAAACACAAAGTCAAGATATATCGTACCAGAATAGCAAGACACCAGTGCAACAGCTGAACAAACATACATTGGCAAAGGAAAGTTTTAAAATATGTTTTCTAATGCTTTCTGTGTTTGTTACTTGCAAATAAAAAAATGAATGACAAGCGTGAACTGTCTAACTTTCGGATACATTTAAAGTGACATTCAGGTTTATCACTTAAATGAAATCTTATTATTTAAACCTACACTTTAATGTATGAAAGGATATACATTAATTTTCACAGCACATACTGACCAGCTTCCCAAGCATGTTTCCAATTCCCATGATGTCATAAATGACTTTGACAAGATACAGAAAGTTTGAAACCATTCCACAGGAATGATTTTCCACAACTGACAAAGGATAACATTCATTACATCCTGTGATACAATCACATGCGTGGGCTCACTACAAAAACCCCATCGTTAGATTTGCTTTCTGCCAGAAGGCTATTTTAGATTAAAATAAATAAATCACAATGAATAACTATAAAAGACATATCATTTGAATGTAGGAATCAAATTTCTTGATAAATGTATTATGGAAATTAAACACAAGATATTTATTCAAGCTTTAGGATTATCAAACCTATTTATATCCCAAACTAATGTGCTTTATGTATGGTACCAAATTATTTATTGATCTTGAACAATGAAAGTATGATCAAAAAGTAGATTATAGTAAATGTCAATCAAATCAATATCTAAAGGCATAGAATTTTTATATAAAAATCTGGATTGGTAAGAAAGTTCAGAACAACGTACACACAAAACCATCAAGGATGTATTCCAATATTATCTAGAATGTCTTCAAGTATATAAAGTATGTATATTAGGTATGAAGATGCTATGTGATTCTTAGCAGCAGTAACCTTGGCATTTAGCTTCATGCGTACTGTTGTCCATGATGGATAGACTGAATAGGGAACATAAGGCTAAACAATACAGCTTTAACTTTTGTAAGCCTCCGCAACCCAAAGGTATTTTGCATTCCATCACCAGCAATAAAAATACAAAATTATAGCATTTCATAAACATAAGAAGAAACGGTGAAGAGATGTATCGGTTAAAGGAGATTCATTGCTTTTTATGCCTGACTGGAAGGTTGAGCCTTGAACTATGAAAACAGTTCATCTTCTATTCTGAAAAGCCTATCTTCCTGATTTAGGAGAAATACGACAATAAAAGAAGCCAATTTATTTTTCTTTACCAGCTCTGCAATACAGCTGTAAGCTGAAATAGGGCAATAATTTTTAAATTTTAAGAGCCAAATTCTGGAGTTGCTACCCTCAGTGTCGATTGAGTATTGATTTCTCAATCCAATGTTAAACCGCCATCTGAAAATAGATGTGTTAAATCCTGGGTTCCTGTTTTAACAGCAGTTCATTCACAATGCTGTTAAATTATCTCATTCCTGGATCAAATTACTTTTTTTTTTTTCCAGAGCTAATCTCTTGATTTATTGAATAGTAACGTATGGTATCTAAAGGTTATTGAACTAAGGTATTAGCCTGAGGGTCTGAACCATGACTTCCAAGTAGAACCATCATCATAAAGGTCTATTCGCCTTAACTTTAAAAAAGCAATTATAGCTAAATGTTTTAAGTGATACAAACTAACCTTTGCAAGTGCATGAGAATACACACATACAATGGAATATACACTAATTAAAAACAGTTGAAAAACCAGCCTCCAATAAGGGAGTCAATTTATGAGATTTATATGTGTCGTTCTATTATATACTGTACACAAAATACATGGTTCTCTTGTAACATTATCTTGCAGGAAAATAGGTATACACACTGCAAGCACATTTAAATTAAACACTATACTAATCCCGCCAGTGCAATCAAGAATTATTCGTGGTGAGTTGAGGTCTGAATATAAATATTTAAAATCTAAATTCTATTATCATTATCCTTTACACTAAGCTGTCTTTCCTAAAAACACAGAGAAAGCGTTTTCCTTGATACAAGCTTAAGACACAGACCACTCTGAAATGCTTTCAAATTGTAGACAACCAGATTAGGAGACAGTTAGGTGCATTAAAGAAAGATAACAGAGATGATGACAATTCCATGGTTTAGAGATATGCAAAACTATAGTGAATAAAAAGGCTATTCTGTGCTTATTTCTTCCACAGAGGGACAATTTGCATAACAATACATGTAATCACAGCATTTCTGCCTTTTTTTATTTTAATAACAGTGGCCTATTGAAGCGTTATATTATGCACAGTGTTTCTGACACATATTTATACACACATTATTCCTCTTCATTTGGAAAAAATTCTGACTTTAATTAAACTTGGGGATGGGGGAAAGTGACAGCTGAGTCTCAGTACAGGGTCTTGAGGTTATTGACCTGCTCTTGCTCCTCCTCGCCTGTATACAGCCTCCATTTGACTGGCATACCCAGAGCTGTGATCTGTGAAATTGCTCAGCTACTCCATCAATTATCTTTGGTTTCAATTCACACTGGGCAAACTCCACTTTCTAACCCGCACCTCTCCTTCAGTCGGGTCTATACTGAACAGATAAATTGACTAGGATGCAACGGACAGCTGGTGGGGTCTAATAGTGAGCCTTTTTCCGTTCTTCAAAAAGACGTCTGTGAAGAACGCAGAAATTATTAGGTCTAATGTTTGCAACTCTTTCACAACTATCAACAATTAATTTCCCTTCACCTAATTTAGCTTAATGAAGAATTTAATAAATGCTTCTACGCAGCACCTCAAAATGGTACTCTAAGAGGAAAAGTTATTTATAATGAAGCCAATGGAATGGTCTGGCATTCACCTTTTCAGAAATTAGTTGTCATTATCTTCTACTAGAAGCTTTTTATTAATTCAAAATGGTTTGGTGTTGGAGTCGTTTTCAAAATCGAAGATCTTGCAGGCCTTGTTTTACTTTTAGATTCATTCTCAAATGATTACTTATTCACCTTTTACAGAGGATTTCATATAATGTCCTGAATAATAAATATTGAGCATTTTCATTTATTAATAACTGGTTGATGGAGAAAATTTACAGACCAAAAAACTACAGAAATAAATGGATGATTCTGACTGTGCAAAGTTGTATTTTTGGGTTGTTAAAATGAAAGCCCATTACTTGATATTTGTGACAGATGTTATTTAGAACATCTTTAAAGGCAAATGTGGTCCTATTTTAACTTTTTGCTATTTGAAACTTACTTTTCTCTTGTGACAGTACTAAAAAAAAACATTAAGAGAAGGCTAGCATTAGCATATGACACATAAAAGAAAATGCAAAATATGAAATGTTGATTTTTTTGTTTCAAATTATCTGCACGGTGTTGAATATTCATGAACCTAAAAACATCCAATTAACTGTTTAAGTTATTAATATTCATCAAGTTATAAATATGCATAGTGCTTTTGTTCCTGAATAGGTGTTACTGTAATCAGACTGTCGTTTTGTTCTCTCCTAGTGGTGTTTAGCAGACAAGTGTATGGTGTTTTGGAAAGGGTGAGTCCTCCTCACAGATGTTCATGAACTTCATTTCAAAATACATTTAAAAGAAAATATTACTTTTCAGCAACATTTCATTTCCTTTCATTACACTCTTAATCAAATATCAACCCACTTGCAGGGTTTTGAAATCCAGCACTGCCTATGACAGGACATCATAAAAACTTAAGACATTATGATTATCAACAACAAAAGCAGCTCATATGTAGCATGCTGAGTTACCTTGCAAGGCCCCAGAAAGAGAAAACCACGATAAAATAAAAATGGATGAGGAAAAAATGTATTTGTAGCAAGACTAATCACATCAGTGTCTGTCTGCAAGGCTTGATCGAGCAAATCCTTTTGTAAGTTTGTGCATGATGACTTTTCATTGTCAGGCTACACTTCATCCAGCATGTAAAACAAGCGAAAGCGGATAAAAACAAACAAATGTTCCAAGCAGCAACAATTCATGATGCCAGCAGCTATTGTCTGCTGGGATGTTTATCAGATTTAGTTTATTGTATCACTATTAAAAAGAAAACAGGCTTGTTGAGTCAGGCCAATTGGGAAAGATTTACACATTAATGATTTTTCTCTTGCTGCATACATTTCTATCTCCATTCATACAATAGAGCTGGGATTGCTTACATTTTGTCACGACGCCTTCTAAGCGGATGATGTTAGGATGGTCAAATTGTCCCATGATGCTTGCTTCACTCAGAAAGTCTCGTCTCTGTTTCTCCGAGTATCCAGCCTTCAGACTCTTTATGGCCACATAAATTTCCCGTTTGCTGGGAAGCTTCAGTCTTCCACTGCACACCTCCCCAAATTCACCTTTTCAGAAGGAAAGAGTTTATTTTTTTTCTACACTGCAGCAACAGTTTGAACAGTTTTCCAATCCAACTGACTACAAGCACTTCAAGTTCTGATACAAGGAAAAGTCTGTGAAACAAAAAGAACTCAGCATGAGTTAGCCAAAAGCCTGAGGTTAGACTTATAATTGAAACATTTTTATTTCTTGTGTTTCACTGCCTTGGCATTAAAGCAGAAAAATGATACATAACCTACACTCTCACAGACAGCCATTGGAGAGATTAGCGGCGCAGCTTCAAGGGGCTCAAAGATTAGAATGGGTCTGTGGGTTAAAAATAGCATTCAAACTAGACCAAATTTGCACTGATGCTCAAATTTTAAGATCTTTCAGGTGTTTATTACATGCGGACTTTAATGCCTTTGCAGATTACAATAAGTAACATGGGTAGCTGGAAAAATATTCAATTTACAATTGTCTTCTTCTGAATCTACTCTTTCAAGAGGCGATCATCATTAAGAGCTGCATATACACACTGATCATACTTGGACATTTCACTCCACAACTTTGATGAAAGAAGAATTCCAAGCACCAGTCTCTTTGATTCAAATCTGTATTAGTTCTACATTTATGAGAGTAAAGGGCACACAGTTCATTTAATAGAATGAGCTGTTAAAACTTTGATATCCACTTTCTTAGTCACTTCTCTTTTAGTCCATCCATCTCTTACATACAGTAATGTTGAAGCATTATGGTTTCCAGCCCTGTTAAATCCCTTTCAGAATATCATCATTAGTGGAAAGAATGGAGTCTGGATGGACTTATAATGAGTAGTACAGTGTGAATTACTGCTTTTACAGCTGAATTCAATAAAGGTACTGTTAGAGACATTCAATTTAAACTGCAAAGTTTATATAACTGAAGTCTTTCAAGCAAGTGGCACATTTTAAGCTGAGAACAAGACAAAGTTTGAGTCCTCTGAGACCCAGGAATATGAGAAAGCATCTTAACTAAACTTAATGTCAAAACAAGTGTACATACAGTACATTATGTGTATGAGCACATATTTCTGTCAATATGTAGAGAAGCATTGGGATGAGTCTGTGAAAATGCCACCACAAACATAGGAATCCCTGACAAACCAACAATGTATCTTTTTTATCTAAAAGTGGTTTATGTTAGGTATATCTTATCCATGTATGATACATTAATACAGCCTGAGGGTAAATTACACAGGAACCAGTAGTGCAGAGACTCATAAGATTGAGGAAACTGTTATTTCGGAGTTACTTCATTTGAGCCCACCTTGTCCATACTGTATGTCCAGCTGCGTACCCTACCAAGTGTTGGCTGGAGATCCAGAGATTTGGGAATAGCTCTCACAGTGGTCAACACAAGAAAACAAAGGGATGCTGTGCTCCTGGGCTCAATAGGTTGGCACCAGTAAATGCTTAATAAGCAGACTAGGTTTAAACATATATCTTGAGATTCAATCTGACCTGAGTGTTTCATGCCCAACAGGCAAACAGCATGAAATAAGCAAATACATAAAACTACACTGATAACTGTGAATAGTTGGTGCTAATATACTGTACCAAAATCACAGCAAAATTCAAAAAGTCCTTCAAACACTTAACAGAATACAGCTACTACACACCCCCATTCACAGTGTTCACTGTTCGCATTCCTTTCTCCATTTGATCATTGCTCTTGTAGAGAATCCTTGACTCATTTCACCTACAGTACTGTGGTAAGGGAGTTCCAATAACGTCATCCTTAAGACCCAGTGGGAACCACTCAATACTGGAAGTATTCTGAAACAATCCATTTCTAAAAGTTTATTCTGCATTTTAAATTGTACATTTTTTTTTCTAAACCCATTTACCTGCCCCTATCACTCTCTCAATCCGAATGGCAGACGCATCAATCTCCTTGGCAAAATCACGCACAGCCTGATTGGGGTCCTCATAAGTGTGTGGGTGAATGTAAGTCCTGCTCCCTGGTAGCTTCACTGTGAAAAAGAGGCAGAAAGAGAGAGAGAGAACAGAATAATAATATTTCCTTACACTTATATAGCGCATTTCTGGACACTCCACTCAAAGTGCTTTACAGGTCATGGGGACTCCCCTCTACCACCACCAATCTGCAGCCCCACCTGGATGATGCGCCAGTACTCTCACCACACACAGCCATCAGTGGGGAGGAGAACAGAGTGATGAAGCCAGTTCATAGATGGGGATTATTAGGAGGCCATGATTGGTAAAGGCCAATGGGAAATCTGGCCGTGATGCCGGGGTTACACCCCTACTCTTTTTGAGAAACACCCTGGGATTTTTAATAACCACAGAGAGTCAGGACCATGGTTTTACACCTCATCCGGAGGACAGTGCCTTTTTACGATTATTGCCCCCATCACTATACTGGGGCATTTGGACCCACACAGACAGCAGGGTGAGCGCCCCCTGCTGGCCCCACTAACACCGGTTCCAGCAGCAACCTTAGTTTTCCCAGGTCCCATCCAGGTACCAACCAGGCTCACACCTGCTGAGCTTCAGTGGGTTGTCAGTTCTGCTGCTGCAGAAGAAAGTCTGTTGCTTTCCTTCATTAGGAAGCCATTTATTTAATCAAGAAGGATAGAAATACATTTTTTACATTATTAAGTACTTTCTTGGGGTGTTATAGTACGCCATCAATGTGAGAAATTATTAGGACATATGGTTAACATTAAAAGAAATACTGACAGATCTGATACAAATAACTTATTTATGACTGAAATTGATTAATTCATTGCAGGTTCACTTAGATCCTCACCTCGACCGTGCTGGAACTGCATCTTTTCCTCATCGGGGTCTTGTTTTGCTTTGATATACCCACAATGTCTGAAATGAAACCAAACAGAAATTACAGATGCAGCCGTGTGTCATTTCTTTTCAGGACACATAACTACGGTATGAGTTGCTCATTTGAAACAGAACCATTGCTAAAACCTATTTTACAGAAGAAGATTGCAATTATGCATCTACTGCCCTCTTGTCTGTAATTAAAAGTCCTCTTTGTTTCCTGAAATACCCATTTGTAGCTCCGCTCCAATGTACTGTGGAAGGCTCCCTCCGTGTTTCTGATACAAGACATCAGACTGACACAAAGCATTGGTGGCAGCTTGCACATGCTATGGGCCTTTGTAAGATAAACGTAGGGCCAAGAGGCCTCTCAAGATAGTTAAATTGGCATATTTAAATCCACGCTTAGTATCCTGCTTCTTTGTGCAAAAAATAATTGGATGTATAAATGTATGGCGAAATAAGAAATAAACAATAATACTCAAGATAATAGGAAACAATGGCACAATCAGGCATATGGATCTGCTCAGTGGTATCATAAAGCATTTGTGCACTTCTAAATATAATTTTGCTTTGTGTCATCCTAACCTCCTCTTTCATCACTGCAGCCACTGTAGGTTGTAGCCTAGGGGCTAGTTCACAGGGATTCTCACTTTCAAAACCTCAAAACAAAGTTTCACATAACAGTCCACTTTAAAGTTTACATAACAGAACATATTGTATAATATTAACATTTCTGCTGCCTTAAAGGGGGAGCAACAACTTCAAGTTTGGCAAGCATATCTGAAGTACAAGAAAAGAGATTTTGAAACAATCTTGTTCATATTAATGATGTACAAGAATCATACTGTATATACTGGATAGTTCTTAAGGAAATTAAAAAAACACTTAAACATGTTATACAATTCAATAACGATTTGTAATACCCTGTTCGCTAATTAATATCTACAATTATATGATATTACATTCTCAAATAAAAGAACTATTGTTCTTTTACTCTTGTTTTCTAGTCTCTATTGTTGTGCACTTTTGTGAGTCTATGAACAGTTTGCCCTGTCCCTGTATCTGTGAAGAGGATAATTTGGAGCTTCATCATTCTATAAGAAGGATAATTATTTAAATGCAGGTTGTTTCCATAACAAATACATCCCATTATCATATCCTGATTACAGCCCATTCTGTATAATAACATGTAGTTCTAGAATTTCCACTAAGCGCTGGCTGTTGTAGTGAATTGGAAACATCCTAGGGGGTGCTGAGAATGACATATTCAGGTGTTCTGGATGAAAAGGTTACCTGATCTCTTTCTCTGGTAACTCATTTAAAAAAAAAACAGAAATCTTTTCCAACACTTCAGACTACATGTCAAGAAAGCTTTGTTTCAGAGAAAAAAGGCAATTTAATAAGCCCACGCATTTTATGAGAAGGTAGAAAATTTGCGGAAAAGCGGCAGCAGCCCCACTGTGGGCAAAAGTCTGTAATACAGTACTCAATAACTCTGGACTCAAATTAAATTTTAAATTTTAATGTACACTTGAAAATGGCATGAAGATGTAAGCCAAAAATATATCAGAAAATCAATTTTTCGCTCTCCAGGTATTAAAACCCTATATTACTTTTTCCCCCCTTCGGTAATTTGTCCTAACTCATGCCAGAAATATTAATGACACGTCATCTGGCTAGAACAAATGTAAAAGGTATAAAACCTTTACTATACATAAGCTACAGTATATTATAAAGCCATTTCAATTATAATTGCTTTGGAAGAGGTTCCAGAAATTCACTATTAAAATGCATGTCATTAGTCATTAGATTATTCATATTGTCAGAACTAAAACACACCTTCTGTTTGAAGTTCCCTATAGAAAGCTTGAGCCTACTGTCACACGTGGATACACAGAAGCAAGTGCAAACTACTGTACAACGGCTTGAGAAAGTACTGCAAGCACGCAGACACCTTGTCATCTTTCAGCTCATAAAGTCTTATGTAAATACTGTGCATCTACAAACAACTCAAGCTTCAATCAATAGAATCAATAGGTTTCAGAACTACGTGATATTTGACAAGAATCATTTACAATTTGGGCTGCTAATTCCTGGGTTTACATTCCCATATTTTCTGCATGAGGCCACAGAAAACCAAGTTTGTGCTTAGTTTAACTCGGAGAAAGGACGGCGCGGATTTGGGACAGGCTTAGGAAATATAATACACATTTTTATTTAATCCATCTTGTTACTTTTTACACAGCTGAGTAGACAAAATCATTTCCATTGATATCTGTTCACAGGGGATTTGTAATTGTCAGCTGCGTGAAAAACCAATGTGGCAGCCCACAGACTAGAGGTCAGGGTCCACGGCCATGTGCCCGACTTCTCCCCTGAGGTTTCTAATCTGGAATCAGGAGCATACCCCTGGGGGAGCCCCACCTGTTTATTTGTTTCCCTTGGCTTGAAGATCGCATGTGCCTGTGATCATCTACCCCCCGCCAGGCCCAGAACACGCCCTGCTTAGCAGAACACGGCACCACGAGGGGCGTCTGATGAGAGCATGTGGCAATCGGGAAACAGAGATCACGCCTCATGTGGACACTGGTCTCCCAGGACCCTGCTCACACTCCTCCTGCACCTGCTGCTCCCTGCGTCTCTGCGACACATCGGGGACGGGAGAGGGGGAGGGCAGCGGGGGGAGGTCTTTTTTTCTCCACGCAAAATGTGTGGATTGTGAGGAGGGGGGCGTGCGATTTAAATAACAATAATGTCCATGCACCACTTCATTTGCCACTAGGTTTACTAAAGGTTTTATTTTTATTTTATGCCTTTAAAAAAAAAACACAGTCATTTACATTCCTGCATTTGAGACTGGAATTTACTCACTTTTGATTCACCTCCCTTCAAATTTTCTTCTAGGCTCAGCTATACTGAGCACACTGCTTTTATATCACGCTGTGTGCCCCTTCATGAGAGAAGCTGCAAAAAGCCTTATTTGCAACTGTGAGCTCTGTACTTCTGTTAGCAGTTAAGGGCTTTTGTTCAATCCCTTTCCCTTTATTTTATTCAAGCTTGTGAAATCATGGAGACTCTGTAGCTACAGTCCAGCTCTAATTATGTCTTCGAGGACACGAGAACTCATTCTAACAAGATGGAAAGCAAAGAGTTTCAGAAGTGAAGGCTAGAAATTGTAAGAGGAACTTGTGGGCCTGTGTCAACAATCAGAAAACAAAGCAAAAAGCAGTCCTGGTGTGGGCAACACTTGTGGGCACACTGTTAAATAAAAATCTATTTCCTATTGGATAACCTAGGCATCGTACTGGACCACAGATCCAAGTGAAAGAGCAATTCAACTAAATGGTGTCAAGTAAAACATTCTTATTTGCCAAATCAACAGCCTTTAAATGAAGGAATAAGTACAAATCCAACAAAGTTACAAAATATTTCTCTTCTAATCTATAAAATATACCTATAAACATAATTAAAGTAAGTTCAGGACATAAAGAATAATAAATGATAAATTATTGAACAACAAACATTTTCTTTTAAGACTTTAATTCGGGCTTTATTAGACCATATTAAGGCTTTAATATTTACTGTTAGTCTACTATCCTATTTCTAGTGTTCCTATACAAATACACTCATCATTCCATTCAAAGGGAGACACCAGTGATCCCTGTACTCATGGAAAGAAAGGCAAGCTGAAAACAAATCAAGCTCTGATCTTCCATGCTCTCATTAACACCAGCGAATCATGATGTATCTGTGTGGGTTTTGATTAAGGTTGCATTGTCTCCTTAAATAAAAAATATACTCCTCTTTAGCTATTCCTAACCTGTCTTTTGATTTGAAAATGAATTCCACTTGTGAAAAAAAGTGTTTCAAACTGTTTTTTTGTGCCTTTGTTTCTTAATAATCACCCTTGTGAAAAGTTTATCTCCCTATTATCTGTAAAGGTATACAATGACCAATTGCTACCACTGAATGAATGGACAGCAACAAGTACCTTGACACTTTACAAGCAAGCGGTTATTAAATACTTTGTGATTGTTCTCATAACTAATCTGCAGTGCTTTTCATAAGGGTACTATTCAACAAAGCATTAATAAGTGCAAGCGCATAGTTCTTAATCTAGTTGTAAGAACTGTGCATAGGGCTTCTGCTTATGTTTGACTGCGTGATACCTGTTTAAACCATCTTCTGACAAATATTTTAGCATACAATATCCATGTGCTTTTATTCTGAAACACAACATGTTTGTAAGAAGTATCGAAACGCTGGGAGCATCGGACTCCTTTCTCCAAATTCGAGGACAGATATAATTTTTAAAAATGTAGAAAATAATTAAAGTTTAAAGAGCCTCTGTATTAAGTTGGTCTTGGAAGGTGAGGGCGCTTCTGCTGAAATCAACCTTTGTTTAACTAACTCCCGCTGCCTTACAGAGAGCTTTCTCATGAGGGTAGGGGGTAGGGAGGGAGTATGTGGTTGAATATGGAATATATTAAAATGAAACCAATGAAGAATGCCTGAGTAAGTGAAACTTAGAAGATAGAATATGCTCCAGGCAAAAGCTGACTCAGGTGTCTTTGTCTTCATGTGTCACACCAAATTCTGTGAGTAATTTTCTCTGATAAGCCTTTTAACAATGTGGGATCACTGCCAAAAATATAGTTAGGCAAACTAAAACTAAAACCAGGTTGAATACCTGAAATATTGTACAAAAATGATATACACACAGATAGAAGGAGATGGGGAGAGTAGTGAGTGGCATTTATCCCTGCTTTTCAGAAGTGAAGACTCAAAGTTATTTAACAAATAATTTCCATGATATATTATACATGACAGTTGGGGGAAAAAAAAGATCCCTACACAAATAATCTGGATCAAATCTTCAATGCAATTATGATTTTCAAGAGTTTATGACTAAGAAATGTGTAATGTGAAATCAATGACAGTACTAGTCCTATTTGATTACCAAAGGGCTGCATGTACTGTAAAGGGCTAAAGTAAATTCAACCACGGGTAGGTCCTGAATGGAAAGAGCACTTTTC